TCCAAAATAAAAAGCAATTTTTTTGGAACTTCAAAATATGAGGATAGAAAAAGGAAATAAAATAAAAATAATAAGAGAAAAAGAAGTGAAAGAAAAGAGAAACATAAAAAAAACTTTTATAAAAAAGAAAGAAAAATGAAGTCATAAATTGTACTTAAAAGATGTTTTTTTCGAGACGTTAAAAAAAGTCATTTTTTTAATCAGTTGGGTTTTGAAAAACTTTTTTTTGGACCAACACCCATCAAATTCAAATATTTCAAAGTGGCCCTCTTTTTATTTTTAAAATTAAAAGTAAGAATCTTTTTTGGTCATCTCAATTATAATATTTTTTTACAAAGTCTAGAAAAAGAACTTTATTAACGCACTTAGTAGCTACGTTTTCTTTTTTTAAGAATATTTTTGTATCTTCTTATTTTTTCATTTCTTTTTTCCATTTTATTTTATTTTATTTTATTTTATCCCATTCTTAATTTTATTTTTTGAACTTCCTATTGAATTTTTTCTTTTTATTCTGAAAAAAACAAAAAAAAGGAATTTTTTAAACTTGAGATCGATGAAGTTTATGTTAATTTTTTTCATTTTCTTTATTTTTTATTTCAAACACAAATAGTTTTGAAATTTCAAAGCATTATTAAAAAATTTAGAATATATATTAAAAAAACCTTTTAGAGAAGTAAACAAAGAGGTTGTTGCGGGACTTATTATTATTATTATTATTATTATGAATTATTTATAGTTAGTTAACTATTATTAGGAAATATTATATTTGTTAGGTGATTAATTAGTTTCCTAGTTTATTTAGTTACCTTTTATAATTAGGATTATTAATTATTTAGTTACCATTTATTATTGAGATTGTCTAGAGTTGGGGCCTATAAATGTATCCATCACCATAGTTTTGTCAATCAATGAATAAAGAAAATACTTTCTCCTTAACCATAATCTCTCTCTTTCTCGCATCTTTTGTTCTTGGAGCTCGAAGGTGCTCGAAATCCTTCCCTATCCCGATACGATACCGTATCAGAGGTAGAAGAAAAAAAGAGATACAAAAGGGAAAAATCAAAAAATAAAAGAAAATGAAAAATGAGCTCTGTTGTCCCCTATAGTTTGAAAAATAGGCATTAATGCTCCTTTTCGGTGGAAAATTAACAGACAATGTTCGGAAAATGGTCAGAGTGGGCATACAATGTTTTGAAACACTAGGATTTTATAAATAAATTTTAAAAATAGATGGGGATTGGAACTATTAGGCCTTATTTTATGTCTCCGATAATATTTGTTTGTTCACGCATTTTTATTAATTAATTGGTAAAATAAAATTAGCATGTCATCACTTTTTTATAAAACTTTTGATATAATTTAATATGTAAGTTGTATTTTTGTTATATTTCTATATCATTTTCTAAATAAAATTTATTCGAAAGAGATTAAATTTTACATTTTATTTGGAAGATGATGATAATTTAAGAAAGGAAGGAATATAAAAGAAACTCCAATATATTTGCTAAATTGGTAAAAAATTTATTTTGTCTACATTTGGCAAAATACTACTCCCTAATTGGCATAATACCAAAAATGTCTAGTTTTGCCATGTTCAGCCATTATGATTAGAACAAACAGAAAAAGATTGATTGATAAAATATTATTTAATAGTCCGCAATTAAGACTCTATCCATTCCTAAATCATCAATTTTTTAAACAACGTATAAAATATACTTCTCCATCCCTAAATATTTGCCACACTTATATTTCCGAGGCAAAATATCAAATTTTTTCAATTTATTTTATTTACATATTAGTATAAAAATAAAAAATAAAATTTACATATCAAAAAACTACATGAAAAATTCTTCGAAATAAGAGGTGTCAAGAATACTTTATTTTCTCAAATAACCAATGAAAACGTAGAAATAAACAAAAATTCCCACGACTGCTGAAAAAGCAAACGTTGCAAATAATTTGAGACGAATGGAGTAACTTTTTTAGGGCATCACTAATGGAGAGGAATGAAAAGAGGGATGACATGATGTGGAAAAGGAAAGAAGAAAAAAATGATTAGAAAAAAAAGGGAATATATAAGAGAGATGAGGAGGGGGGAAATAGAGAGAGAATAAAGTAATTGAGCAATTATTTTTCCAATTTTTGTATAAAAGAAATGGCAAATGGAAAAAATAATTAAAAAATTAGATCGAGAATGATTAGAGAAGAGTGAGATAAATTGAAGGAGAAAATGATGTGATATTGAAAATAGATGATGTGATAGAGGAATAGAGAGGAATAAGTAGTAATGCTCTTAGACTAATTCTATCTATAATTTGATAAGAAAATAAAAATAACAAATTGTGGACGGAGGAAGTATTTAAAAGGTACTATATCAACACTTCTATAAAATAAGTGTTGACCAAAATATTTATTCTATCAAATTATCATGAAAAAATACATGCAATCAAAAGTTTTCAGAAAACAAAAATTGTAAATAGAACAATAATTTAAAGAGGAAGAAAGTACTCACTAAGTATTTGAACAAATAACAATTCATCCCATTATTGGCAAATTCTTTCGTGGTACTTATGTTCACACTAATTTTATAGACTTTAGTACATAAATATAATGAAAGAATTAGACTTTTTTTAAAAAAATGTCTCCATATAAACTCATGAAAATGTGAAAATTTTACCTATTGTTATGCTCTAAGATTATACGGAGTAAGAAACAGAAAAACAAGAAATGTGGGAAGGTCAAAAACTTGTCGAGTAGGTAAAGATGGTCAACCCTGATTAGGCAATTCACTGGATGCAAATTGTAGTGGCCACTGGTCAGTGGGTGACGATTAGGCAAAACTGAAAGTCGGTTAAAAGTAGTAGATGATGACGTGTCTGCGGCAATCCCAATCGGCGCAAATACCATAATTACTTCCTAGAAATTAGCAGACTCCACCGGTCGGGTTTTCTTCCCATTTAATTTATTTTAGTCAAAGTTTGTGAATTTTGTCTCCAATCTGTAGGAAAAAAAAATATTATATTATATTATGATATAACTTTAACATTAATATATATCTACTACAACGTAGTTTTTAGATATCAATTTTTTATAAAATGTATCTATATATAAATAAAAATATTAGTGGTCATTAATCAAATAGTAATCTTAGAAACCATGAAAAGTTAAATGAGAAAAATATTTTCAAACGAGGGTGTACTATTTTTAACTTTGGCTATATTCTTTTACTTTTGGCTTTCGCACACTCTATCGAGTATTATGAATTTATCATCTTAAATTTTTTTGAAATAACATTGGATTTTCATTAATTCATAATGTCAAAATGTAAAGAGCGTAAAACATTACATATGAAAGCTGAAGGGACAGACACCCACCCCTAATACTCAGATGTAAAATTTAATGTTCTAGTCAACCGATGAGCAATGTGATTTGCTAACTTTCTAACAAAAAATCATGAGAGAAAAGTAAATTCTACTATCAAAAACTTGAAATCTAAAATAATTTCTGAAAAATAAGAAAACTTCTCAATATCTACTTTGATGGGTGTATTCCACCCAAAACCAGTCAATGAGAGGCTTTAAAATAAATGACTAGTCAAGATTGATTTTTCGGGATGGGAAGCCTAAAATACAATGTTTTGAAAACTGGACCGGACGTCGACTCGGACGAAGTAGTGGGTCAAGGGTTGTCCGGTCGAACCGGGGGTCAACAACCCAGTCAACTATGTTTATAATAATAATATTTTATGATATATTAGATATTTTTAGTTAATAAAATATTTTAATTTATGTTATTATTTCTCCATCTCTTTTTTAATATCCTTATACATATGATATTTCAGACCTTCAATTTTTATTTTATTATTTTTATTATTATGAAAAGTTAATACTGAATCTCTAACAAATACTTAAATAATAAGGCGATACTCATATTTTCTAAAATTAAAGACTATATATTTTATTCTTATATACATATGACATTTTGAAGTTAATATTTAGTTGATTAAAATGATTGAAAATAAAAAAATATAGCATATTAAATTATACTTTGTAATTAATAATATTACTTAATTTTTGAAGACAACAATTTTTTAAATATAAAATATACAGAGTATATTTATTTTCAAATAAAAATTAAATTATTCTCAAGTTTTAAAACTATTTTAAAAGTTCATAAATACAAATAATTCACACTTGCACAAAAAACTACATACTAGTATTAATTTTGTATGAACCTTGTAACGCCACAAAACATGGCCTAAAATTTATTATAAAACAAAAGTAGTTTTTGTCCAATAAGGAATATTTATACGTTTGACCAAAAATAAATGGATTTTCAAAATAATGACTTTTTGTTAAAAACTTATTTTTATGGATATGTCCCGAAGAGACAATTCCAACGGTACATTTTATGAATCAATCTCATTTATAAATTGCAAACTATGACAATTTTAAATATTAAAAATTGTAACTTTGACTCATAAAATAAACTCAATTCAAAAGAGATTTCTTAAGATTAGAAATCTAAATCTTTGACATTTGACAACACCATATTTATCTTTTGAATTAAATTCATATATTTTTATATCATTTATATTATTGAATTAATTTATGACTGAGACCGACCCGAACACTGAGAAAAATAAAAGTTCTCAGAAAAATATTTTGATTACGTCAAAATTCTAGTTTTGACAGTCTGTTTCCAAAAACACAATCCGTTTTCAATTCGGAACAATTTAGGCGAAAAAGCGCGTACCGTTTTAGCCAGTTTATCAGTTACGGAGTAAGAGAATATTTTAAAATCTTCAAAACTCCTTCAATTACGAGACCTTTTCTCCTTAGCTACCCCACTCCACTCCACTAACACTATAATCCAACCCTTCCTATATAATACTCCCACCTTTATTCCATTTTCTCCACCACATATTCATCATCAAACATCATCACCAATCATCCATCCATCATCTCTCCTCTTCACCTCTCTCTCTCTCTGTCGGTCAGGCACCAAGGAAGGAAAAAGGAGATTCCAATTCCATGATTTCATGTTAAGGAAGAAGAAGGAGCAAGAAGAAAGTAGCTAAAGTTTCTAAAATCCTGAGTTCAAACACAGCAGCCCACTTCTAGGTAAAAACTGAAATTTTCCATACATTATATTGAAATACTTTCTGAACCAAAGTTGTAGCCCCAGACGATACAAATCCAGCCCAACAAACGGCTCGTGATTTTGTTAAGTAACGAAGAAGATATGGCCAAAATACCGGGACTGCGCCAGTGGTGGCGAGCTCCTCGGGTTGGACCATTTTCTTCACCAAATTCATATTATTTCATTCCAAGAACTTACCATAAACTCTCTAACACTTATTAGGAACATTGAGAAGGTATCGTAGAGAAGGTTCGACGTTAGAATATTGAAGTTAATGAGAGAATCGTCGGAATCGTTGTTCGTTGGAACATCCAAAATCCTGGCAGCAACTATGAGTCCACTTGTGAGCTATATTTGACAATTTTAAACTCATTATTTTAACATGGTTTCTTCACGAAAGTTGTAGCCTTACGTCTTAGGAATCCACAGAATCAAACGGTTTGCGATTCCGTGAAGAAACGATGGAGATATGCTCAAAATACCGCAGGCTATCCAATTGTGACGCGAATAACAAAGTTGGTGAATTTCGATGTTGTTTCCACTCCTGCTCATCCGTAAGGTTTCGGCCGATGATTTCCATGTCTGTAACTTTGCGTTAGACTTGTCGAATCATTCATCACATATATACATGAACATATATGTTATTTCATATGTTAAAACCATTCCAAAATATATATGTGATGCATATATAAGTTATCTATATGTTGAGATCAAAATACACCAAATCCATAAAGTTAATATACACATAAGTAAATATAAACTTTGGAAATCAACCCAACAATATGTATATGCTAATCAAAGGTGCTTAAAAGACTTAAAGAAGTATTTTGGACACTCAAAATATCAAGAGAAAGATTCACAGACCCAAACGGTCGACGCAAACGGTCGACCGTCGCGTTAAACATCGAAATGGACCCCGACTGTCAGACAAACGGTCGACCGCCGGTGGCCAACGGTCGACCGTCGCCTGTCCAGCCAAGTGCCGTCGTCCACCTCCAGTCAACAACGGTCGACCGCCGGTCAACCGTGGTCGACCGTCACGGTGAATCTCCAATCCGACCTGATGAAGATCAAGGTCGACCGTCGCGCCAAACGGTCGACCGTCGCGCCAAACGGTCGACCGTTCCGAGCCCTGTAGCTTAATTAAATGATATTTTAATCATGTTTCATCCAAATAAACTAATGCATGATTATATATTCATATTGTTTACAAATTGTTCATGTCATATCATTCATTTCATCACACATATTGTAGCATATCATATCATATGCATGCATAAGAGATCATGCGTAATTGCGTCTCTTATAGCGTGATGTGCGGGACTTACTAGTCCGACATCACCCGTTCTAGGCTTAGTGTACATACATGGTATTCAGGTTTCGAGTACCACCCATATTTTTCTAGTCTCACCTCATTCGTGAGACTAAGGCCGCGTGAGTTCGTCGTACCAAATGGGTGAATCTCATAGCGCAAGGGTGTCCTTGCTCGTTAGAATCATGCATCATGTTATCATCATCAAGTACATTGATTACATAGGTGTCATGTAATCATCATCAAGAACAATCAAATTGATTAAATGTGAAATCATGTTATCATCATCAAGTACATTGATTACATAGGTATCATGTAATCATCATCAAGAACAATTATATTGATTACATAAGTGTCATGTAATCATCATCAATAATAATTATACTGATTAAATATGCCATCAGGTAATCATCATCAAATGTCCACCATCATAAATCATCAAATTGAACATACGATATAATGTGCCATATCATGAATATTATTATACATTTTGTGGACGTATATATATGTATATGTATATGTCTATGAATTGTTTTACAATTCTAGCGTGGTACCACTCAGCGGTTTCGCTGAGCGTGTAGTTTGTATTTTTTTTTGTTGACTACACGTAGGTAACAAGAGGACAATGACGGAACCACTCCTGGAGGGCATTGAATCAGAGGAGATGCAAGGATGGCAGACAAATGTTTGATCATCAAAGAATTTAAATGTGTCATGATTTAATTATTATTGTACTTCCGCATTACTCTGAAAATATATTTTTTAAATAGGTCACGATCCAGAGTCTGTAAATTTAATATTTATAAGTAATTATCATTTTCAAATGCCAAGCGAAATTTTTATTTAACTCTCGTTTCACCTTAATTCGTGTAATTCCGGGTTATACGGATTGGGGTGTTACAAACCTTTTGTAAACCCATAAATACATATGATTGATACCTAGATTTTGAACAAAGATTTAGTAGCTCACTTGGTTGACAACTTGCACTAGCATACGGGAGGTGCTGGGGTCGATTCCCAGCCACCACTTTCAATTTTTATGTCTAAAAATTTAATAAAATGTAGATTTAAGCCCAAACCCGGGAACCGGACGGGTCGACCCGGGTCACCCGGTTCACCGGGTCCGACGGGTTTGGGCGGGTCAAAAGGGAGCCGGGTTTCTTCAGTGAACCCGACCAGATTTATTGCCGGTTCGCGGGTCGACCGGTTGGACCAGCCGGTCCGATCCGGTATTCAAAACACTGCTAAAACAACAATAAGAAGGTATTCGTTTGACCTAAAAGTTGATTGGTACACTTCGGATGGTCTACCGGTCAAAATACTTTACTCCTTCATCCATCGCTAATTTCAATAATCTCATCCCTTGGAAATCTACCCTGTACGGTTTCTACGGTTGGGATGTGTCGGCAAGACGTGGATTTGTGGTGCCTTGTCCCTCATTGATTACTATTGTTGGACATGAGTTCAAACCCCTTTTTATATATATTCTGAAATATTTTCTTTGGTTTTGATAAATCACAAACAGGACAATTAAAATCAACGATGATCGAAAATTTATTTTTTCGTATCGTGAAACGCAAAGAGCCGTATCAAGAAATTTTACTATGACAAAAATCAACGATTGCGGCTTGCCCCTACGCAGAGTTATTGAAGTAAAGTGAAGACTCCGAAGTAGGGGTGGACACGGTACGGTTCCGGGACGGTTCCGGTTCCGGAACCGCCGGTTCCGGTACCCCCACCCCATGTAACCGGAACCGTCACCGTGCCGGCCGGTACCGGTTCCGGTTCCCGGACCGGCTGTTCTGGTTCTCGGACCGGCGGTTCCGGTACCAGACCGGCCGGGTTCGGCCTCCCCCCCCCCTTTTTTTTGCTTTTTTTTAAATTTTTAAAGTTTAAAATTGTAAATTTGCAATTGTTTAAGAAAAGAATGAAATAAAAAATCTAAAAATGTAGTTGTTATTTAAATATTGAAAATGAGTAATACACTAACTGAAAAACAACCACATTTAATATCCTGACGGTTCAAAAAAAGCGACGAGGTAAAGAACCGTAAAGAAACCCTCGAAGGAGCTTATATATCGTTCACCTAAAAAAATTAATTACATATTTACATTAACATAAAAAATTTTATAACTTATTCTTCAGAACTCGGACTTCCATATGTGGTTGCATTCATGTAATGCTCCGATTCGAGTTGGTACGATGACTCTTGAGCCCGACGTCTTGCCAAGAGCCAATCTTGGTTGCAAACCAGTGTTTCAAGAGATTCAGCGTTAAGACAACTTCGGTAGTCGGTTAGAATGTTCCCGCCATCACTGAATTCTCGTTCAACTGCTACGGTTGATACTGGGACGGACAACACTTGTCTTGCTAGCATGCTGAGACATGGGAACATGTGTTCGTTCCGCTTCCACCATCCGAGCACGTCAAAATCGACATCGTCGTCATCGTAATCGCATGGCACACCCTGGTACATAGCAAGTTCGTTGTGCGAGCTTACTGTTGTACCACTTGAACTCGTCGAAGACTGGGCACACTTCCCTTTCTTTGCAAGAAGGCCACCGACTATGCCGGCAAAACCTTTTTTTGATTTCGGGGGCGGAGATGGTGTTGTTTCTTCTTGTACAGTACCGTATAACCCTTGATATTCCTTAAACAAATCCTCAAAAAGAGTTATAGCATTATCTCTTTCATTTTTCCATTCTACTAAATAGCTGTAGTAATAACTATTTTTATCTAAAAAACAACTGTAGTAATACTCAATTAGAATTTTTAAATTTTTAATCTTAAATCATGGATCACAAATAATACCTATTTTATAAATATCAGGATTGTACAAATAATAAGTACACCATTTATCTCTCATAGGAGAGACATAAGGGTACAAATCTGGATTAGCCATACTTTCACGAAAACATGTTGCGATTGTAATGCACTCTTTAAAAAATGTATTTGTAGTTGGTTGGTAAACATGGGAAAAAGTAAGAGTTGCGTTATTAAAAACTTCTAATACGACATTCAATTTTTCAACAATAACAAATTCAAAAGGATTAATGATTATACGAAGTTCATCCCTAAAAAATTCAGCAAGTTCCTCTTTATATCTTAGGATCTGTGCAATCAATTTGTAAGTACTATTCCATCTAATGTTAATATCTCTGGCAAAACTTATTTCTTTTTTACCCTTACACTTACAGAACATCTTCCAGGATCTCAAAATAAGACGAGCCCTCCAAATTTTTTTAATTCCTTCTTAAATATTTGTCAAAACTCCGCCCATAGCTTGTAGTCCCTGTTGAACACATAAATTTAAAACATGACAGGCACACCGTTGATGCAGAAATCTACCCATAGTCGTAGACGGTGGGCAAATTTCTCTAAGTCTAGGAATAGCAGCAGTATTATTAGTAGCATTATCAAAACCAAATGAGAAAAACTTTTTCAGATAAGTTATATTCCCGCAGAATACTCTGAAGCAATAGAAAAATATTTTCAGTAGTATGCTGATCATTGAAATCACGAAATGCAAGAACACGTTTATGCATAATCCAATCACTATCTATCCAATGACAAGTAACACCCATATAAGATAAATTATGATAAGTTTCACCCCAAATATCAGAACAAATAGCAACACGAGAATTAAAATTGAGAAAAAAATTTGCCAAATTAATTTTTTCCATTTTATACTGGCGAATAATTCCTCGTTTAATTGTTTTTCTTGAAAAACCTCGTGCTTGAGGATTTAATGTCTGTTGACAATAATCAATAAAACCAAGTTTTTCACAAAACATGTATGGCAAATTTTTCGAAAATTTCAATAAATAATAGAGAATATATTTAAAATATAAATTATATATTTTTTGATATTAAAGATATATTAAATTTCGAAATTTTCAAATAATTTCGAAATTTTTTATATTAAAATATAATATATTTAAAAAAGATAGATAAGAATTAAGTAATTAAGAATGATTGATAAGAATTAAGAAATTAAGAATGATAGATTGAGATTTAAGAGAATGAGAGATGGATAATGGATTGAGTATTTGAGAATTGAAATTTTGAGTGTGATATTTTATGAAAAAAGGGGGTATTTATAAATTTTTTTAGGTTCCCCCTCCCTCCCCAATCCCCATCCCCCCTCCCTCAGTCCCCCCTAGCCTCTAACGGCTCAAAGAGCTGTTGATTGAGGCCGCCCCCCACTGACTTTTCTTTCTTTTCTTTTACAGGTTTCCGTTGGGTGCAGGAGCAAGAAAAAGAAGAAAAAAACGTTCCGGCACCGGTACCGGTACCGGCGGTGCCGGTGACGTAAATTTGGAACCGGACAAGGTACCGGTTGAGGCGGTACCGGTATCGGTAGGTCGTCTCCGGTGACGGTGACGGTACTCGGTACCGCCGGTACCGGTGCCGGTGACGGTACCGGACCGGTACCGTTTCCAGGCCTACTCCGAAGACTTTTTTTATTTGAGTCTAGGAATTTTTTTGTAAGGATGAAAATAATTTTTGCATAAACAAATTAATTTTTTGAGGGAAAAAATTATTATTTTTTGAGTTAGTTGAAAAATCATTTTTTTCTCTATCTAAAAATAATTTGCTGAGTCAGTTTCAAAATAGTGTGCCAAAATTTCTTAAAATACCTTTTAAGGATACACAATTTTTTTGTGGTAAGAAAAATATACTTTAACTATTTTTCGTATTCATCATTTGACACACAAAATATTTTTGGGACTCAATTTCTACACCAAAAATCATTTCTTAATTCAAATTTTTGAATTTGAATTAAATACTCAATTTCTACACCAAAAATCATTTCTTAATTCAAATTTTTGAATTTGAATTAAATTCATCATCTCATGTGATTTGTTTGATTATGAGAGCCTCTTCATCCCTGATTTCTTGTCCAAAACAAATCAATTAGTCCAAATTTGTACATCTCACTCGCACACATGTTTTGAGTCCTCATGTTTGGGCTTTGTTCGGTAGGGGATCGATCCTCCTCTATGGATCGATCACCGTGTAGAAGGATTCAACAGTGGTTCGATCCACTCAAATAGATCGATCTTTATATCTTTCAGAAATTCTTTGGTGGATCGATCCTTAGCCCTTAATCGATCCCCCGTGACTTTGTAAAAAATCTTTTCCCAAATTTTGATTCCAGAAGATCGATCCTTTAGCCTGGATCGATCCCCCGTGCCTTTGCAAAACACTTTTTTCGAGTGTTAATTCCAGGTGATCGATCCCTTGGGTTGGATCGATCCCCAATGTTCTAATATGTCAAAATCATCTCATCCCTACGTCTAACAGATTTATTCCTTTCAACCCTATAAAATCCCTCATCCTCCTTCATCAAACCACACATCTCTTGCACTCCAAACCTTCATTACTCAATATTCAACTCTTGCTTCCATCTCCTTCATCAAATATATTATTTTTGAGAGTTAGAAATATTTTTTATTGATGCTAAAGATATTGTCATCCATAAAGCTTTCATATTTGAACACTTCTTACTCAATTGTGTGAGCATCATTCTTGTGTTGTAAACTCAATCTTGTTTGAGTTGTTGCTAAGACTTGTGTGATTCAAGTCTTGTTAGTTGTTGTTAAGACTTGTGTGACTCAAGTCTTGTTGTAAGAAGTTGAGGCTTGTGTGATTCAAGTTCTTGAGTTGTATCGATTTTTCAAGCACCCGTTGAAGCTTGAAGTAAGTAGGACCGTTGAGAGAGTCTCTCGGAGGACTCGACTAGCCACGAGGTGGTGAACTAGTATAAATCACGTTGTACTCCTTTCCCTTGCTCTTTACATTT